GGGATCCTTCGGAGTCAGTCACTGAGAAGAAGAAAGAAAGAGACTGCAGAAACCCCAGGTGGGAATGGGTGCAAGGCTGATTAGCAAGCTCCCTTCTAGGCTGGAGAACGTTGAGACTTGGAAGTCCCTGTGTGGCGCTTGGAAACATTCTGCCAACCCTCCTCCTCTCTAGGTCCTGGCTCTGTTTCGAGGGTCAGATGTGCAATCTGATTTTATTGGCCTCTCTTCGCACATACACTTTCAAGATTCCAGCAGGTTCCATTTAACAAGGAGGTACTGAGTTCCAACTGGAGTATTAACCTGTGAGCAGTGATGGTCAAGTGTGTGGACTGGCATCGGTACTTGAGTAGGCATGCGGCAGCTTGGCACAGTCCCTGGAACACAGTGAGGGCGACCCCTGGCATTTTAAGGACAGGCACGGGCAAAGCAGGCCCTTCCCGGAAGGGGGCTGGCAGCTTAGCTACTCTGAACTGGGGGAAGGAATAGCCAGCAGAGGGATACAGCTGTGGAATTAGAATCTCAGATCTGTCATAAATAGCACATCCCCCACCGACTGCAGCTGCTCAGCCAGTCAGCCCGGGGAACCTTTGCCTGGAGTGAACATGATGTTGTAAATGGGGAGAGATGGTCCTAGGGGAATTGGGAAGTTGAGATGGGAGCCACCAAGAGAGGTGACTCAGGGGCAAGTTGGTGACTTGTGGGGGCAGGTGGGGATAGGGGCTGGGATCCTGCACAGCCTGTTTCCAAATACCACATCCAAACGCAGTCATGTGGTGTGCACACATGGGCATGTTGTTGTATGGGCCAGGTGGAGGGTGTGGAAAAGAAGACTGTGTTACCATTGGTCATGTCAGGTGGCAGTGATGGACAAGGAAAGGCGCTGGAGCAGGTATAATGATGGGCTTTGCCTTTAAACCCTTGTGGTAGTTTATTTCATTGGTTATAACTGGTGTGATCTCAAAGACATTAAATGAAGTATAAAAATTTAATCATTTACTAATCCCTTCTTCCCCTTCTTCCTCACCACAACCTTTTCCTTCCTGCCACCAGATCCGGAGAGAAAACTCACCCGCTGCTATTGACAGTACAGCCTGAAGGAGGTAAGGAACCACAGGTAACTTACGCTGGACTCTTCTGTGTGCCAGGCCCCAGGCCTGGGTCAGGCACCCATCACATGCTCGTTGCCTCACTGGACTCTGCCAGCCTGTGATGGTGGTTATTACTTCCTTCTACAGATGAAAGATTTTGGCTTAGAGAGGTAGAATAACTTCGTGGAATATATGGCAAGGTTAGCATATCGGCTAAGGGCCCAGGGGAAAAGAGAATTCCTCTCGAAAGAGTTTAGCTAAAGAGCACTTAAAAAAGGGACCATTTACAGATCTGCAGGCACAGTTAAGAGAATCAACAGGGATGTTGAAGACCAGAGACTGACAGTTACAGGGAGCCACTTCTGCCCCCTGCACTGATGGGATAAGGGGAAGGAATAGCGTTACCACAAGAACCTTGGTGAGCAGGAGGAAGCCAGGAAGAAACACCTCATCCATTCTCCTCTCCTGCCCTTTAGGCCCTGCCAGTGCCGCTCACTGGCTGACCCAACAGGAAGCCAGAGTAATGCAGTCTGTACGGGGTGGAGAGGGAGAATGAATGGAAGAGGGAGAAACAGAGGACAATCAGCAGGACTTGAACTCAGGGCTCACTGATTCTAAGCCCTGGGGCCCTTCTGCTGTCCCGCATAGCAACACATGCTACTGTGCCCACAAGCCCCCCTGGGTCCCACACACCCTTCCATGCACGGGGACATCCTGTCAAGTAAGGACTCAAGCCTGGGCCCAAGTTATTCTTTCTTTAGCCAAAATATTCCTCTTCTAAAAAAAGTACTGCTATTTGGTTAGGATGGCGGCATCTGGTCCCACTAGCTCAGCAGAAAAATGTGAGCACCTTATTTCAAGCCTGACATCTGAGTGCATGTGTGGTCTCCTGCTTACGCCCCTCCCTCTGCCAGGGCCACGTCCCCTTCCCTTCGCCTGGCGTGGGACATTCCAGCCATCACTATTCCTGATCCGTTCATCCCTAGGTTCCTGTATCTAGCTCGATGCCAGGCACCAAAGAGGTACACAATGGTCACTCACGGCAGAAACGCAAATGCCTCTCCAAATAACACCCTTTCCTTAGGGCCCTTGATTTTTATTTCACAGAGTGAATTTTCCAGAAGCTTCTCTACTTTCTGTTACAGATAAAGAATGCTAATATTGGCTTTCAGGTGGGGCTTCAGTAGGAGATGATGATGTTGATAAAAATAATTATATATTTTGGGTGCTTAACATGTGCCAGGTACAGCAAAAAGTTGTATATGCATTGTCTCATTCGTTGGCCACCGCTTATGCACATTCTCTCAGCTGCACCTTATTCCAGTTCTATGAGGGCTGCGAGCAGCTCTGCACAGGCGCATCCTGGCAGCATCTTGACTCAGGCCCTGGCTGTAACTCTTGCTTTGTAAATCTGTCTTGCTTTGGAATTTCCCTGTTGTTTGGTGCTGGACACCCTGGGGAGCCCACTTGAGCACTCGTTCATGCATAACTGGGAGCAGCTAATGCCCTGTGGGGCCACCCTAGCCCAATGGGGCCCCATGTCAATGGATAAGTGCTTCCACTTTCTGGCTGAGCCGCTTTCATACGGCTCAGATGGTCCCGTGGGATTGGACACAGCCGTCCATAGCAGTGACCAGCTCCTCCATAAGGCAGCCTTGCATCGGCTTTCCATCCTTCCCTGTTTTGCACTCCCCACCCCTCATTCTTGCCCCCTGGGGTCATATTCCAAAATAAATTTGCATGTAAGGCTTTGTCTCAGGCTCTGCTCTCAGGGAACCCAGGCTAAGAGAATCCTTACAAAAATCACGACAGAGGTACTATTATTATCCCCACTTCACAGAGGAGGAACCTGAGGCTTCGACAGGTTCAATAACTTGCCAAAATCATACAGGGGGTAAGGACAGAGCCACTGAAATGTTTAGGAAGGAAGGAGAGGGTATGACTCAGGGAGTGGGAGATTGGATTTACCAGGGAATTGTAATAAAATTTCTGTTGAAGTTTGCGTGTCTGTTGAAGTTTGTGGCCGTGAATTTGAAGCGAATCCAGCCAGCCAAGTGATGGAGTGTTCTCCAAAGATGCTCAGATGCCCCGACAGACAGACGCATGGGCTGGAGTAGGCACTGTGGGTGGGCAGGGGTGAGGGCATTGGGCAGGGCAGTAAGCAGCTAGGAGTAAGTGTGACCAGGGATGACTGAAGGGCTTGGGCTCCTGGTGATGATAAGGAGTGGGGGCCCTAGGGCCCCCAAGGACCTGGCATTGAATCCAGGTTCTGTGGTTTCTCCTCAGTGTGACTTTGAGCGACTTACCTGGCTTCTCGGGTTCCTCATCTGTGAAATGGGAATAAAGGCACTTCACCCACATGGTTGGGGTGACAGAAAGCACATAAGAGAAGTAATAAGAGCTAATGGCTACCTGCCAGGCTCCGTGCTAAGTGTGCTCCCCAGTCATTAATTTACTTAACTCTCACAAACACTCTGCTAGGTAGGTGCTGTTAGAGTCGCAGGTCACAGCTAAGAAAAATCAGCCACTGAAAGTTAAATGACTTGCCTGCAGTCACATAGCAGGAAGTATCAGACTCAGGATTTGACCTGGGAGCTCTCACCAGAGTCTGCTCTTAGCTGCTCCTCCACCCAGCCTCCCAGGGCCCTGCCTTAAAACAGGCACCATTTTCTTTAACCCTGGTGGGAACAGAAGTGCTATTTCCTTGTTCTTTTTCCAGCCGCTGACCCTGGCTTTCCTCTGCTCCTGTGAGCCTAGCTCCCGGCCAGCTGAGGACTGAGGTCAGGTCTCAGCACTGGCTTAAGACCTCCCCTCCTACTCCCGCCAACTGCTCGGGGCATATTAGGGGCCCGCACTCCTGGGGGGGACACTGCTTCCTCTTAAGATGCATGGAGAGTGGACTGGGGGGGCCTTTAGTCTCATCCTAGGCTGGGGGGGCAGGCTGGCTCTGATTTGCTGCCCTTTACGGCAAGGAGGGAGCCTGCTTTGGCGGGATTCATAGCTCCACCCACCATGTCCCCTTGCCTGTGAGCTTGGGGTCCACTCCCACCTCCCCTGCTTCCCAGCTGCACTGAGGAGTTTCCCAGCTTTGCGGCCCATGTGACCAGCTTCCCTCACTTCCTTTGGCCCCCTCCGCCTGCAGAGCCCAGGGCCGAGTCCTGTCTTTGCCCAGACTCATCCCCTAGGCCAATCCTGAGCCCAAGAGCTGGAAAATAGGCTTAGGTCAGCCAGCGAAGGGAAGCCTTGGCATGTGGGGCTCAGCCTGCAGCTGCTGGGTTGGATAGTGGTGGAGAGTAGAGTCCAGGAAGGAAATGTAGAGGTGGGGAGAGGGGAGACCGGGAGCCCTTGACTTCCAGACCTGGAGCAGCATCTCTTGTTACTTATTTACTGAGCACTTAGCATGCGCCAACCACGACCCTACCCTAGATTCTTTATCTAAATAGTCTCACTTAGTCCTCATCGCAAGTCTATTAAGTAGATATTATGATCTCCAGTTTACAAACAGGGAAACCGAGGCAAAGAGAAGTTACAGACCTCAGGGCACGTGGAATTAGCTGAGCAGGGATCTGAACCCAGCTCAATTTGCTGTTACAGTAAACGGGCAAGGAAGGGGAAAAGCTGAACTGGGAACCCCAGGGTGATGGAGTAACCCAAGGCGCAGACAGACCGGCTCTCTCAGAACTCACAAGCAATGAATTTGTGGGTTTTTAGGGCCTGCTGTAGGATCATATGTGGGAGAAGTCACCCTCACCCCCTCCCAGCTTCCTGCTCTCCTGGGGGCTCTCCTGAGCCAGGGCTGGGGTCAATGTACCCATCAAGGAAGCAGGCGCCACGGGGCTGGATGACAGACACCAGAAGCCCTCCCTGAACAAAGACTGGGTGGGAGGCGGCCTGGTGTGTCCCCACCCCGCCTCTCCCAGCGCCTGCTGAGCTGAGACCACAGACAGCGAGGCAGGCAGGCGGGGCGAGCATGGCCAGGGCAGCGGCTGCTCTGCTGTCCCTTGTCCTGCAGCTCACAGGCCTGGCACTGGCCCCGGCGACGGGCAGGGGTAAGTCGGGTTGCCTAGGGCTTGAGGAAGGCTGGGCAGGACCCCACCTCTTGCTCAGCCAAGTCTGAGGGAACGGCTAGGGGCAGGGGTCTGCCTCTCTGGGCCCTGCCTTGGGGTGCGTGTGCCCCTCAGTCCAGCCTGAGCCTTCCCCCTTGCTTGGTGAAGGAGCCAGCATGGTTGGGGCAGCAGGGAGGCTAAGGCATGGGGTCCAGGAGTGGGAGGGGTCTTCCTGCTCTGCCTGGGGAGGAATTCCTGCAGGCAGCAGTGGGGGAGAGGCTGCCCTGGAATCTGGGAGTCTGAAGTTAATTACTTGTCTTGAGAAAGGGGAAAAAAAAGGAGGCCCGCCATGGGAGCTGACTTTGAGTCTCTGGGTCTGGCTTTCATCCAGAGGGCAGGCAGGAATAGCGGGGCCAGTGCAGGGACTGTGCGGGGGAGGGTGAGGGGAGCCAAGGACAGTTCCTTGGGGAGCAATCAGGCTTTGTGCAGCAATCAGGAGCTCTTTCTGCAGGTCTCTCCAGGCAAGGGACTGGCCCTATCTTCCCTGAGGGTCCCAGAGGACCCCCAGCTTCTCCCTGAGCAGGCTTGTAGGGAGTGTCCTGAAAGGAAGGATCATAGGGGTGGGGTGTTGAGCTGGGGTGGAAGGTTTAAGATGCTGAAACCCCATTCTTGGCCACTCTTCATGGGGCTGGGAAGGAGGCTCACCGAGACAGAGAGCCACTCCATGTGACTGGCACCCTGCCCGAGGGTTGGGGGTGGGAACAGCCACAAGAGATGTGGGTATCGGGTGTTAGAACTCCAGATGTGGGGGGCAGTATGATAAGTGACACTTGGGAAAGGTCACACTCGCCACTGGGAACCTTCAGGTGTCTGATTTAGAATCGTTTTGCCAGGAGAAGAGGAGCAGGTGGAGGGAGGGTGTCTTCAGCCTCCTAGGTGGAGACAGAGCGGAGAGGAAAAGAGCTGGGGGTAGGGGGAGGGGCAGTTGGGAGATGACTGGGTGAGACCAGAGACTGACGGGGTTTGGGAGGAGAAGGAAGAGAAAAAAAAGAGGAGGAGCCCCAGATTTCTGGGTCGGTGGGGATGGTATTAACCAAGACAAGGAACTCAGGACAAAGCAGGTTTGGACAAAAGAGGACAATTTAGATTTTGGACTAGAGTCTCTAACCCCCCTCGGTGGTGGCAGTGGGGTCTGGGGGTGTGAGCAACCTTGTTTCCCTGCTTCACACCCAGGCCCGGCCTCACTAAGGAGCTGTCTCTGTGGACAGACCCTCCCCTCTCCCTCCTCCTCTTCCTCCTCCTCGCTCACCTCCTGCTCCAGACCCTCTGCTGCCCTGCCCACCCCCACGGGGCAGGGGGGATGATGTTTGTGGGAACCAACGCCTGGAGTCAGACTACCCCCACAGCCATTACTTTCTTGACTTCGGAGAGAAGAAAGTGAGGTGAAGTGGAGGTCCCCACGCCCAGGCCTGAACCCAGAGGAGCCCCCTCCTAGGACCCAGTGTCATCTAGCGCCCTGAAAGGCTGTCTTCATTCTGCTGGGGCCTTGAAACCTAGTGGGTCCCTGTGAGCACCTTCTCCAAACACTTCAAGAAATGGAGCCAAGTCCTGCTCTCTGGAGCCCACCCTGCCCAGGGTGGGGTCCCCAGGCCTCTCTGCCACAGCCCTGGAAAACAGTGGCACAGCTTGGGAGTGAGGGCAGAGAGCAGAGTTGCCCCTCTCTGCGCACAGAAGTGGTGCCCTTTCTCACAAGTGAAGATAGGCAGTTGAAGGGTGGGGTCTGCTCACACCAGACTCCCCCAGGACCTGAAAGCAGCCCGCCTTTCTCACACACATCTGTCTCCCTCTCCTGTCCTCAGCCTGTGCTGGCCTGTTGGGCCTCCCAGCATGACTTGTCAGTTCCCCAGGCTGCCCCTGGCCAAGTCTCTGGCCCAAGTGAGGATGGACAACCCTGACATGGTCCCCCACTGCTGGCGACTCCTGTAGAGTCAGGGCTGGCTACAGGGGGGCCCTGGTCTAGATCCTCCTCCCACAGCTCCCAGTGAGGTGGTGTCCCTGGGGCTTGTATCTGACTGAGGTTCTTACTACTTAGGAAAGCTGGTCTGGGTCCCTTTTGTCCCCCTAGGACTCCCTCTCCCTCCTCCCATGCTTTCACTCCAGCCCCATCACAGGCCATCTCTCCTTCAGTGGATGGTGGGTGGCAGGTGGACAAGTGTGGGGCACAGGATGGACACTGCTGGAAAGACAAACCCTGGAAACGTTGCTAGCCCGTCACCCATAGGCCTTCTCTGGATTCTTATGCTTCAGGTGGGGCTGTCCCCAGGGAGCCCCCCGGGCTTGCTGACATCCATGACTACCAGCCGCAGGCACAGCTCCACATTCCTTCTCCTGCTGGGGGCCCCTGGGAGCGGCGGCACCCCCTGGAGGAGCGGCTGGGCAGACTGGAGGCTGAGATGACGGAGCTCAGAGACCAGGTACCATTGGAGGCTGGTGGGTATGTGTGGGGTAGAGCAGGCCTGGTGTAGCAGGAGGAAAGGAGAGAAGGGTTGGACCTGGGGGGGTGGCCCGTGGGACCCTGAAATAGAGTTTTGTTTTAAATGCACACAGAAAGGTTCTTATCTGAAGAGTTCTTTAGAGCAGTTCTTTCATACAAATGAAGAACCCTCTGGGTATTTGCTTTGTCAATCAGATTTTCATCTTCTTCCATGTATTTGGCAAACATGGCACGCCTACTATATATAAAGCATCACCAGGACAGATTTTGGATGGACAAAGGTCTTTAATTATTAGGTCATGAGTACTGGCTCACCTTTTGTCCAAAGGAGAGGACTGGGGGCCCCCTGCTTTCCTGGGAGCCTGTCCAGACCCCAGGCCCTGAGAACTGGGACTGTTTGAACTGGATGCTGCCTGGAGGGGGATCCACTTCTGCTCTGAAACTTTCAAGTTTCCTTCTCCTCCTGGCTAGGCTTCCACACCCCGTGAGTCTGCAGGAGGTGGTGGGGGAAGCTGAACCAGAGCCTCCTACCTCCCCACCTCTTTCTCCAGAACAAAGACCTGCAGGGGAGGGTGAGGCAGCTGGAGTCCTGTGAATGCCACCCAGCTCCTCCCCAGTGCTGGGGGCTGGGGCGGGCCTGGCCCGAGGGGGCTCACTGGGAGCCAGATGCCTGCACATCCTGCATCTGCCAGGACGGGGTTGCACGCTGTGACCCCAAGCCCGGCCTGCCCTACTGCCGTGGTGAGTGCCATTCACCTGCCTAGTGGCATCACCTCGGGGCATGGAGATGGCCCGGAGCACCTGAGTGAGAGCCCTATCTCCCCCTCAGGCTGCAGCCACGATGGTCAGGCCTATGGCAATGGGGAGACCTTCTCCATAGACGCCTGCACCACCTGTCGCTGCCTGGTGAGTTCCCACAATCACCCTGGATATTCCACACCTGTCCCCTTCAATTGTCTGCCTCACCTCGGCTACCTGTTCCTGCTGTCTGGTGTGCGGACTAAGTAGTGGGGTCTGCCTGCCCGTCCTCCCAAGACACTGGTGGCCTTCGGCTGATTCCAAATAGTTCTACTTTCTGGAGTTCAACCCCCGTGCACACAGTGGGGTGTCTGTCTTCATACCTGTCTCCTCACCTGTGGATCCTCACTGTCCCTGCTCATCCACCTATCCATGTCATCCACCTCCTTCTTCTTCCTCACTTGGTTCCACATCCACCTTCTTCTGGCCTTTCCTTTCTCATTCCTCGTTCCCTTCCTAAGATCTCTCCACTCTGAGGAATTTGCTGGCAGCCGGAAGAGACGGTTTCTGAGGGTCGAGAGTGGCAGGAGATAATGGGGTGGGGGAAGGACATCGCTTTTCTGTCCTCGGGTCAAGGGTAGCCCCGTACTCTGAGCCAACTCAGCCTCTTGTTCCTCTGGTGGGTCCCAGCCTGGGGTGAGGTTTTGGTTCTGGAGACCGTACCCTCCAGGGTTCTGATGCTGCTGCTCCACAGGAAGGAGCCATTACCTGCACTCAGAAGCCATGCCCCAGAGGACCCTGCCCGGAGCCGGGGGCCTGCTGCCCGCACTGCGAGCCAGGTCAGCCTCCTGCCAGCCCCAGCCCCACCTCCTCCACTTGCCTGCTTCCTGCCATGTGCCCAGAGAGTGCATGTCACTTGCTCTGGCAGTGGTTAGCGGAGTTTAGAACCAAAGCCCAAGTCAGCAAATGTTGCCTCTGGCCTGGAACTGAGCCAAAGGCTCTATATAATCTTGTTCCTTTCCTCAGGGAGCTACTAATGGAGCTGAGAAGATAAACGTATATAGCTAATATAATGCAAGATTTAAGAGCCAATGAACAGAGGAAGAGGAGGTGTAGAAAGGTAGTAAGTGGTTAGTTGCCAGAGGAGAGGGCAAGAAGGCAGGGGAAGCCCACCCAGACTCAGTGGGCAGGGAGGGCTCTATAATCAGTCCTCCCAGCTGGATCTTCAGGGGAAATTGGGGTTTCACCAGGAGAGGGCGTACTTGAGGGCCCTCTGGGCACACAGAGTAGGGAACAGAGTAGGGAGAGGTGTGTATCAGGAATTCAGTCTGGGACAGCCAATGGGAACAGATTGCCATAAGCCTTGCATGTTGGACTTTCTTCCGTGGACAATGGGGAGCCACTGAAGGCTGAAGAACCAGAGTGTGGCAGGTTCAAAGAGGCATTTTTGGAATATTCATCTGCTATGGGCTAGATGCAGAGAAACCAGTTTAGGGGGCTATTACAGCAGGTGCCTAGGCATGGAGCCAGGGGCGGCAGTGGGCTGCACAAGGAGGGGTGTTTCTAAAGAACACGGTTGGATCCCACAGAATAGCGGACTCCAGGCGTGGGAAACTAGGAAGTCTGTGTTTCACACACACACACAATAAGTGATATGAAGAGAGCTTAAAGCGAGTGGAGGCAGCAGCTCAGCTGGGGGTGTTACTAGCTCATAGTCAGGAAGATACTGTTGCCAGGCTTAGCAAATGAAAATATGAGATGCCCTGTTGTATGTGAATTTTAGATAAATTTTGCACATTCTGAAGTAAATGCTAAAAAATTATGTGTTGTTCATCTGAAATTAACATTTAACTGGGTGTCCTGTAGTTTATCTGGCAACTCTACCCCAGGAAGAATGTCAGCTGGTAGTTTAAAAGGTGGGACAGTGGCTCAGGGGCCAGTGAGGTCTGGAAATGTTTTCTGAAAGTCTTGTCCAGAGATGAGAAATAAAATCTTGGGAAATGATAGATCTCAAAGAAAAAGCACACATGCACACATAGCTTGTAGAGCACGTGGTATCTCAGGGCCACTACTAGCCCATATGATGTCTTTGGTGAAACGGGGGTGGGGTGATAATTAGGTTTACTTATTTATTTACAGTTAAAGAAGGTACTGGGGATTGAACCCAGAACCTCATGCATGCTAAGCATGCACTCTACCACTTTAGCTATACCTTGCCTGTTGGTGAAATTAAAAAAAAAGGGGGGGGGACCCTTTCCTCAACACTTCTATGTGTTGTAAAATAACGGAAATCTACCCATTATGTTTGAGTCAGACACTATACTGCCATCTGCTGGGAAGTTGTAGTAAATATCAAATCTCTATCACCTGAATGGTGCCCCTTTGATGTGGTGCCCTTGTCTGTTCTTCTGCCCCAGTTCTCTGGGTCTCTTAGTTGGGGGCCTGGCCCTGGTTTTGCAGGCTGCCCTGGAGGCCACAGGGATGGGGAAACATGGCAGCCAGAGCCTTGTGTCATCTGCACCTGCCAGGTAAGGGAATCCAAGCCCGGCCCTGGCCATCACCCATGTCCCTGCTGCTCGGTGTACCGCAGGCCTGGCAGTGCCAAGCCCGTCTGGGGGCCTGGCAGGGCTGCTGCTGCTGCCACCCAGGCATTGAGGCCTGGAGTCTGCTAGGCCTGGTACGCCAGCAGAGAAACGACTTGGGCTGTGGAGAAAGCGGGAGGGCTCAGTGTCTGACCCACAGGCAGGGACCGTGCGATGCCAGGGGCCCTCATGCTCAGAGCTCAACTGCCTGGAGAGCTACACCCCACCTGGGGAGTGCTGCCCCATCTGCCGGCCAGGTGACCTCCCCCCTGCCCTGCCTTCCATCCCTTCAGCCCTAGAGGGTTCAGTATCTACTTGGGATCATGCCTTCCCTTGGGTGATGTCCCCACCCTGCTCTCTGCTGACCAGCCTGTCACCCTGGCATCCCTCCCCAGGCTGTGAGTATGAGGGGCAGCTTTATGAGGAGGGGGCCAACTTCCTGTCCAGTTCCAACCCTTGTCTCCAATGCTCCTGCCTGGTGAGTCCCCCAACCTTGGCCCAGGCCCTGCTCCTCCTGGGACACCCCCACCTGCCCTGGGCTGTATCTGCCACTCCTTCAGCCCCTCACATGCCTTCCAAAGCCTAATGCCAGAGAGATTCTCCCTCCATCCCCACCCTGTACCCCACCCTTCCAAGGGTGCCAGACACCTGCCCACCCTGCTGTCTCTGGGAGCCAGCCCCAGAGGCAGTGCAGCTGTTGGCGCATTACAGAGGAGCCTGGTTCGCTGTGTGCCCGTGGAGTGCCCGCCCATCCCCTGTCCTGAGCCTGTCCTGAGGCCTGGACAGTGCTGCCCGACCTGCCAAGGTGAGAGCCCTGCCCCTTCCCTGGTGGAGCTCCAGGTGGGGCTGTCATGCCGTTTCTTCAACCCAGAGCCCACTCTGCTGGCCTCTGACCTGGGGGGGTTCCATCAGTGGAGGAGCAATGCCTTGGCCATGCCTGCTCTAGAGCTGGAAAGCCTAGGCTCACATTCTGCCCTTGTCACTTAATGGTTGTGTGCCTCCGAGCGAGGTACTCCATGCCTCAGTTCCCCATTTGTAAGGTGTGGATAATGATAGTATATACCTTAAGAAACGTAGACTGTTAACCTGCTTTGTGCATGTAAGACAGAGTGAGCCCTCGAGGCGGACCACTAGAGGGTGACACTGAGTCACACACCAGCACTGTCACCAAGGCAGGATTAGTTTAAGCACAAGATACTATGGAAACTCAGGGGAAGGGGCCCTAATCGAGCCTAGGCACAAAAGAGAAAGTGTCCTGGAGGTGGCGTGTCAGGAACGAACCTAAAGGCTAAGGAAGGGCTGGGTATAGCTCAGTGGTAGTGTGCATGCTCGTTAGCGTGCACGAAGTCCTGGGTTCAATCCTCAGTACCTCCATTTCAAAAGATAAAATATTAAATTTTTTTTTAATTTAAATAAATAAATAAATAAATAAATAAATAAATAAATAAATAAATAAATAAATAAATAAATATTTTTTTTTAAAGGCTAAAGAACGGTTAGCTAGGTGGAGTTCAGAAATAGAAGTAGAGGGCAGAACAGAGCAGAGGGCATTCCAGGAAAAAAGGCACTCAGTGTGAGGTGGGTGTAGGTTAGTTGAGAAGGTGCAAGCACCAATGGCCAAAGCTCACAGTGAGAGGTGGGGTGGGGCCAGTGTCAGGTGGGCGTGGCCATGCTGAGGCCTGGAAGGCCTGGAAGGGCAACTAAAGAGCTTGGGCCTTACCCTGCCTAGGGGGCTGGGAGCAGGGGTCTAGGTAGAGGCAGGATCTGGTCTGGTTTAGGCTCAGAGGGCACGTGGAAGTGGGTGAGGCTGAAGCTGGGTTCTAGGTTGGCTCCCACCAGGCCTCCTCTCTCCCCGTTTCCCCCCAGCCCAAGGCTGCACAGAAGGTGGTTCTTACCAGGAGCATGGCCAAGAGTGGACCACACCTGGGGACCCCTGTCGGATCTGCCAGTGCCGGGTGAGCTCCTATGCTGCTCCTGGGCTATCCCCATCCCCACCCCCCGGGCCCCAGGCCTGCCATAGTCATTCCTGCATTCCACTGAACATATCCCAAAAGGCACTGTGAGGGAACAGAGATGGAGGAGACATAATCCTGGATGCTGTGAGGGTGGGGAAGGGGTCGCACCCTCTATCCAGTTCTGAGCGGAGCAGGCGGGCAGCACAGGTTTGGGAACGGACTCAAGGAGCTTCGGGCTACAGGAGTGAGGCTGGGCAGGATGTGACAGGCAGCCCAGACTCCAGGGAGGGAGAAGCACAGACTGGCTTGAGGCATCTAGAATTCTGCGGTCTGATCAGTAGCTACTGCACGTGGACACTGAGCCCTTGAAATGTGGCTGTCCTGTTTAAGATGGGCTATAAGCATAGGATATACACTGGATTTCAAAGACTTAGTACAAAAGAAAGGAATGTAAAATATGTCATTAACACTGCTGATTACATGTTGAAGTACCATTTTGGATATATTGACTTGAGTGGAATGTAATATTAAAATTTAGTGTCATCTATTTCTTTTTACTTTCTGAAATCTGACTACTAAAGAATTTTAGATGATGTATGTGGTTTGTGTTGTATTGCTATTGGGCAGCACAGATCTAGAAAATCTTCATGCACGGGGTTTACTTAGGTCTTAACGGGTGAGTAGGATTTGAGCAGGGAGAAATGGGGAAAGCCCCTCCAGGTGCTATAGACTGAATATGTCCCCCCCAAATTCATATGTTGAAATCCTAACCCCCCAAAGTGATGGTATTAGGAGGTGGGGCCTTTGGGAGGTGATGAGGTCATGAAGGTGGAGCCCTTATGAAGGGAATTAGTGCCTTTATTGAAGAGACCCTGGAGAGCTCTCTCGTCCCTTCCACCATGTGGGGACACAAGCAAGAAGACAGCCATCTATGAACCAGGAAGGGGGCTCTCACCAGACACTGAAACTGCCATCAACTTGATCTTGGACTCTCCAGCCTCCAAAATTGTGAGAACTAAATTTCTGTTGTTACCGGTCACCCGGTCTATGGGATTTTAATATAGTAGCCTGAGTGGGCTAAGACACCAGGTGTAGGGAAGAGTCAGGGCAAAGCCTGGGGGAGGACAGTGGGGACATGGAGGCCCGGCAGGGTGCACGCCGAGGAGGGCTGTGATTTATGGGGGCTGAAGCCAGAGCCACAGAGCTTCCTGACAGCTTGCCAAGGACTAAGGACTCCACTGTGAAGCCCGGGGAGCACCCAACTCCTTGGCAACCATGTACTTCCCCTCCTCGTTCCCACTGACACCCCACACCTCCCCCAACCTGTGAGAATAGTCACTGGCTGCCCAGATACTTACGGGGCCGGAGGTAGTAAGCCCAGGTGGAGGTGTGAACTCCAGGGATGGTCTGTCTGGGAAAGACCCTGGGGAGTAGCAGCAGCTTCAGTTACTGTGTAACCGCCAGCTTCCAGAGGTGGACGCCACGGCACACGCTGACCTCATCACCATAACAAGGCTATGACAACAGGACTATCATTGTCTCTTTTTTTTCAGATGAGTAAACTGAGGCACAGAGGACTTCAGTGACAGGCTGGGTTATGTATCTGTATTAGTTTCTAGGGCTACCATGATAAAGTACCACAAATGGAGTGGCTTCAACACAGAAATCAATTGTCTCACGGTTCTGGAGGCAGACGTCTGAAACTGAGGGGTCAGCAGGTTGGCTCCCTCCGAGGGCTGTCAGGGAGAATCCGTTCCAGGCCTCCCGAGCTCTGGTGGTTGGCCGGCCATGCTTGGCATCCCTTGGCTTCTGCCTTCATCTTCACATGTTGCTCTCCCTGTATGAGTGTGTCTCTGTCCAAATTTCCACTTTTTATAAGGACAGCAGTCATTGGATTAGGGGCCACCCCACTCCACTCTGACCTCATCTTAATTGATTACATCTGCTATGACCCTATTTCCAAATAAGGTCACATTCCAAGGTCCTGGGGGTTAGGGCTTCAACATAAGAATTTGAAGGGGGACACCATTAACTCATACAGCATCTAAAGTGGGTAGCTGGGACTTGAATGCTGTTTCCTCCACTTGCTGAGCTCTGATGACCCCTTCCCCTGCCCACTCTGCTCCCTTCCAGGAGGGCCACATCCAGTGCCGCCAGCGAGAATGTGCCAGCCTGTGCCCATACCCTGCCCGGCCCCTCCCGGGCACCTGCTGCCCCGTGTGCGATGGTGAGTCGGGGGTGGGGCCTGGAGGGGCTCAGAAAGCTGATGGACGGCTCCGTCAGGCCTCTCATGAAGGCCAGGACATTGAATGGTAGGGGCCCCTGAGGAGGATCTAAGGCACCCTCTTCCCAACAGGCTGTTTCCTAAATGGGCGGGAGTACCGCAGCGGGGAGCCCGTGGGCTCTGGGGACTCCTGCTCGCACTGCCGTTGTGCTGTGAGTGTGGCTGCCCCGCAGGGAGGGCCTGGCTCCTGGGCCTGCCTCTCCCATGCTGACCAGGTCCTGTTGGCAGAACGGGAGTGTCCAGTGTGAGCCTGTGCCCTGCCCGCCCACGCCCTGCAGACACCCAGGCAGGATCCCCGGGGAGTGCTGCCCAGCCTGTGACAGTGAGTGGGGGCTCAAGTCACCCGTGGGAGGGCAGGCACTGCTCCAAGAGAGGCTCTGGGTCCTGGGGGTGGGGAGTTGCTTCCATTGGCCCTACAGGAAGCCCCCTTGAACTAAAGTACACGGGAAATCCTTTATAAACCTAGGCTCTGTCACTACAGGTGAGGGACAAGTTCTCACCTTACTTAATGACACACTGGACACCATGGTGGCCTGTCACTCCTGGGTGTGAGGGGAGGCTGGCAGGGTCTCCTGGAGGACAAGGGTGGCTGTCCTTGTCAGGTTTGGGGGTGAATGCCTTGGGTGGCATGAGGCTTCCCTATCCAGCCTTGTCCCCCAGTCCCACTGTTGTCCTGTCCAGGCTGCGAGTACCAGGGACACCAGTATCAGAGCCAGGAGACCTTCAGCCTCCAAGAGAGGGGCCGCTGTGTCCGCTGCTCCTGCCAGGTAGGCAGTCCCGCCATCTCACGCCCCAGATCTGTCTCGTCCCTTGAAGGCCTCTCACCCAGCCTCCCTCCTAGACCGGCGAGGTCTCCTGTGAGGAGCAGGAGTGCCCAGTCGTCCCCTGCACCCTTCCTGACTCTGGCCCTCAGCTCTGCCCAGGTATGTGTGGAGTTGGGGGGCAACCACAAAAGAGTGCTTCTGCCAGAACTAGAGGTGGAGGAGCATTCATTCACAGTAAAGCAAGGGGGCATTACTAAGTCCACCAGTCATTCCAGAGTGTGTTCAGAGGCTGCTGAGGGGATGGCAAAGTCAGGGTCCTGGGAAGGGTCCTGTGGTCTGGGAAGAAAAGGATGGGTGGAGGTGTCCAGGTTGCCATGGTGACAGCTTCACCCTGCTTGTAGCCTGCGTGCTTGATGGAGAGGAGTTTCCTGAGGGGGTCCAGTGGGAGCCTGATGGTCAGCCCTGCACCGCCTGCTCCTGTCAAGCTGGGGTGCCTGTGTGTGGGGCTTTGCTATGCTCCCCGGCCCCCTGCGAGCACCCAACCCAGCTTCCTGGTGAGTGCCCCACCCCAATCTAGCTTTCTTCCTTTCTTTGCCCAGCCCACCCTGACTAGCTGGGTTCTGATCAACCTACCCCACTCAGGTGCCTGCTGCCCCAGCTGTGAGAGCTGCACGTATCATGGCCAAATGTATGCCAATGGGCAGAACTTCACAGATGCAGACAGCCCTTGCCACACCTGCCGCTGTGAGGTACGTCCCCAGGCTTGCTTCTGCCCTGCTGAGCCCCTCCCGGGGCCCGCCCCCATTGCTCTCTCACCTGCTCTCAGGATGGGACCGTGACGTGCTCCTTGATCGACTGCCCTCCCACAACCTGTGCCAGGCCCCAGAGCGGACCCGGCCAGTGCTGCCCCAGGTGCCCAGGTACGGGCTTACTGCACCTGTATGGCTCAGGGGACCTTAGACCCTGCCCTCCCACAGCCCCATGGGCCCAGCCGATACCTTAGAAAGCAGTGGCCTTCTGACTTCCTTTCAGTCTGACAGGGCTTGGAGCTCTCTGGAACTCACAGGGCATGGACGGGAGAGAGGGGAGATTTGTTTGTCCCTTCACGTTACTGCACCCACTTCCCTCCTATCCTGTACTTCCTCTTCCAGTACCCCCGCTGCTCAGATATATACATGTATCTGCCGGTGTAACACTGGTTCAGGCAACAGATGTTTGAGTTTTCCAGTTGGGAGACGAGGAGGTGGGATACAGTATGCCCTGATCCTGGCCCACGTGGAGAGTGTGCAGGGCGTGTGTCCCCAACCCAGGCACGCACACGCATGAGCCCTTCGGCTTTCACCCTCAGAGACACATAAATCTGCCTGCAGGTAAAGGGACGTAAATGCACACCTGCACACACACACACACACACACACACACACGTGTGTGCTCAGAGATACCCCTGCTTGTGTACACAGCCCCTCTTCCTCTCTCCCTCCATGGGGACAGCATCCAAGTGGCACTTCTGCAGTGGCTCTGGACTCAAGGGTAGAGGGCTTGTCAGCCTGCTCCTCGAATTGTCAGTCTTTGTCCCCACTCCTACCCCTCACCCCCACCCCACTGCGCAGACTGCAACCTGGAGAAAGAAGTATTTGTGCATGGCGAGAGCTTCTCCCACCCCGGAGACCCCTGCCAGGAATGCCAGTGCCGCGAAGGCCACGCCCACTGCCGACCTCGGGCCTGCCCCAGGGCCTCCTGTGCCCACCCGCTGCCTGGTGTCTGTTGCCAGAACAACTGCAATGGTGAGGTGGATGGGATGGGGGTGGTCTCTTGGGATGGCTTGGCCGCATCACTAGGCATTTAGGACCGGAAGGGCAACACGCCCTGGGGGGAGGAGGGCCTCTCCCAGGCCTATAGCTGCCCCCTCCCCTAGGCTGCGCCTTTGGTGGGAAAGAGTATCCCAATGGAGCAGATTTCCCCACCCTCTGACCCCTGCCGCCTGTGTCGCTGTCTGGTGAGTCTGCCACCGGGTTGGGAGGAGTCGTCCAGGGGAGGGGGGCTGGGACTTAAGGAGACCAGGAGAGGTCCGCCAAGGCCGGCATGGGAGGGGTCGGGGGGGTGGTTCTCAGCCTTCCACCGCTAGCCGCGCCTGATGTGGTCTACCTGTCCTCTGCAGAACGGCAACGTGCAGTGCCTGGCCCGCGCTGCCCACCCGTGCCCTGTCCAGAGCCCACCCTGCTGCCCGGGAGAGTGCTGCCCGCAGTGCCCCGGTAGGAGCTGCAGGGCTCGCTGCTTCTCCGGGGAGCGGGGTGGGTCCCTCTCCGCAGCCTTCGCTGCATCCCCTGACGCCTGCTCTCTGGCTGCAGCCACCTTTTCTGATTGCCCTCGGCCCGGGGGCGAGGTCCCCGCCCGCCACCAGGAGCACTTCTCCCCGCCCGACGACCCCTGCCGCCGCTGCCTCTGTCTGGATGGCTCCTTGTCCTGCCAGCGGCTGCCCTGCCCGCCCGCGCCCTGCGCCCACCCGCGCCAGGGGCCCTGCTGCCCTTCCTGCGACGGTAACGCCCTGGCTGTACCCCTCCCCATCCCTGCCACCTGCTTCTTCCAACTCCTCCCCAAGGCCTTGCCTTCTTGGTCTCCCGCTAATTCTGCGTCCTTCCTTCTCTAGCCCTGGGCGGGGGTCCACCCTGACTCCCCTTTCCTACTGGCCCACCCCTCCCACATCGGGGTTCTCACTAAGAAAGTGGGGGAACAGTGCCCACCCAGTCTGCAGGGCCTGGGAGGCCGTGTGCCTGGTACATGAACTCCACGGCCCCTCAGCCCCTCGCCTGCCCCCTAGGGTGCCTGTACCAGGGGAAGGAGTTCGCCAGCGGGGATCGCTTCCCTTCACCCACTGCCCCGTGTCACGTCTGCCTCTGCTGGGAGGGCAGCGTTAGCTGCGAGACCAGGGCCTGTGCCCCTGCACGGTGCCCCTTCCCTGCCAGGGGTGACTGCTGTCCTACCTGTGACGGTGAGGAGCAGGGGGACTGGTGGGGGTGGGGGGGGTGGGAAGGCTGGGCAGCGACATCTTTACTGCCCTAGAGTGGGTCCAAAATATTTACTACCTTAAGAAAAATGCCCTGGACCAAAGCCTGGATTTTTCTCCTGCCTCTGATGCTGTTTGGCTTTGTGACCTTGAAGAATTTACATAATCTCTCTGAACCTAATTTTTTTTCAATTAAAAATACATTTTATAAATGTGTATTTTTATAGAATGCATAACATTTTTGCAGGATGGTAACATAAAATTTACCATCTTCACCATTTTTAAGTGTAACTCTGGGCCTAATTTTAACTCCTGTAAAAAACAGAGGGTTGAACTAGACCCAGTTCCCCAGTCTTTGGTCACTCTTAATTATCTCAGAAATTTTTGCTACATACCCTCTACCACCTGAAACTTTATTTATTTAATGTTTTTCTTCAGATTAACTCACTTTCAGAAAGGAGCCTTGATATCTTACTGTAAATGAAAAATGAAATTTGCAACGTATAGAAGATTACCATAAAAATGAATACAATTAAAATAAAATATTAAATTCAAGTCAGATACTTTTGCCTGCCAAAGCTTTGAGCTGAGACTCACTCACTCTCTCTCTCTTTTTTTTTAAAGACTTTTTTAGAGCAGTTTTAATTTCACAGCAGAATTGAGAGAGTACAGAGATTTCTCATGCCCCCTGGCTCTACACGTGCACGGCCTCCTCCGTTATCAACACCCCCACCAGAGTGGTACACTGGTCACAATTGATGAACCTACATTAACTCATCAGTATCAACCAAAGTGCCCTCTCTTTTTTAGTGTCAGAGAGCTGCTAAGGTCAGGCTGCCGCCACCCCGGGACCCTCTCTCCTTCCTTGGTTAATCAGAAGCCTTAAAAGAGCATTGGAAAGAGGGTTCCTTGGGTCCATGCCACCTAAGTCACCTCAAGCAATTCCGAACTCTACTCGGGTTGGGAACATTGAGACCTTCTGGCCAGGGAGCTTCTTCGCAGGCTGAAGAGAAGAAAGTTTGCCCTTTGGCCAATCTAACCCCCAGACTCCTTTGCCACCTGCCTGGATTTAGTCCTCCCCCACCTTCTGGGTCTTTGAGGCCTTGGACTCAGGCCAGGCAAGTCCAGAGCCCGATGATTGGTCTCCTCTCGCCGATTTCTGCCCCTCTGCCCTGCCCTCCTTGTCCTTTCTCGCAGGCTGTGAGTACCTAGGGGAGTCCTACCTGAGCAGCCAGGAGTTTCCGGATCCCCGAGAGCCCTGCAATCTGTGTACCTGCCTTGGAGGCTTTGTGACCTGCAGCCGCCGGCCCTGTGAGCCTCTGGGCTGCAGCCACCCACTCACCCTGTCTGGGCACTGCTGCCCGACCTGCCAGGGTAGACCTGCCCTCCCACTGCCCCTCTCGACTCCCCAGGCCCCCTCCGCCCAATGTCACCCCTCCCTGGAGACAGCCGTGCAGCAAACCCACACCCTGTGTTTTCCTTGGGTTCCTCACCTTGTACCGGTGCCCTCCTCTCCGTCCCCGCTGTCACCTCACATGGACTGTTGTACTTATCAAAGAACCACCTCTCAGCTGCCAGACCTTCCTGCCTTTCCGTTGTCTCGCTGCCTTCCTAAAATACCACATCACCAGACTCAAAATCCTTCGACGGCTCCCTCTGCCCTTGAGTCGCCTAACACGAGGGGCAGCTCCCTTCCCTCCTGGCTTCCTTAGCCCACCTCCCCAGCCCATCTCACCTCTCCCCTTCATTTCCAGGTGTGCCCATCCCTCACATCTTCCCACACTCGCCTGCAGTCTGTGATCCTGCCCCCAGCCCTCCATCTGCTTCATGCAGGCTGATCTCAACCCCGCCCCCCGCTCCCAGGGTCTGGCTGATGTCTTTCCTCCTGTTCCCCACCTTCTCAGCCACTCATTTCTCCCTTTCTGACTCTTTAGCTAAGCTTTGGTAGAGGACCCCAGTCCCATCTGTGTGAGTGTGTGTGAGTGTGAATGTATGTGAGTGTATGTGGGCAGGTGTGAGTGTTGTGGGGGCAGTGGAGGGCTCCACTGATGGCGGCTCTGCCATTGCATCCCTGCTCTGCCAGGATGCCTCTATCATGGGGTCACTGCTGCCCCTGGAGAGACCCTTCCGGACCCACTTGACCCCACCTGCTCCCTCTGCACCTGCCAGGTGAGGCGGCCCTTTGGGAGCTTGAGAACACTTCATCCTTGATCCTCCTCTGGTCAGAAAGAAGTTGTTTCCTCCACGCAGCTGTCACAGGTTACACCCTGCCTGTGACAGCTATCAGGACAGGATTGGGTTCTAGTCCCCCGGGCCGAGAGAGGGTGTTTGGGCCTGGCAGGCTCAGTAGGGGCACCCCACCATGGGGCAGTGTGCAGCCTGGTCTGAGGGTGTGTGACATGGGAGTCGGGAAGTGGCAGCGTGACCTGTCTCCCCCAGGAAGGTTCCATGCGCTGCCAGAAGAAGCCGTGTCTTCCAGCTCTCTGCCCTCACCCCTCTCCAGGCCCCTGCTTCTGCCCTGTTTGCCACAGTGAGCACAGACGCCCCAGCCCTCTAGGCTCTTCCCTGCGCCTCCTCCCTCCCCTTCTGCCAGGCCTGAGGTTGGACTGGAAAATTTGGTATGGCACCCCCCACCCAAGAAATGTGTCACCCACAGACTGCCTCTCCCAGGGCCGGGAGCACCAGGACGGGGAGGAGTTTGAGGGGCCCACAGGCAGCTGTGAGCGGTGTCGCTGTCAGGTGTGGTACGGAGGTGGCAGAGGGGGCGGGGCACCTGGCCTAGGGAGCAAGTCACTGACCCTGCATCTCCTGCAGGCCGGCCGGGTCAGCTGTGTGCGCCTGCAGTGCCCGGCCCTGCCCTGCCCGCTCCAGGTCACAGAGCCAGGGAGCTGCTGCCCTCACTGCAGAGGTATGCCTGGCCGGTGGGGCTGCCCCCTTGCTTCTGTCCCTGGGTCCCATGTCCCTCCATCCACCCCACTTCCCTCTCCTCAGCTCTCCTCCAGCCTCCCCACTCCCCCATTCACCCATCTGGCCCTCCCGCACCTCGGTCCTTGAATTCTCACGATGCCCACCTTCAGCTCTTCCTACCTGGCCCTGGCCCTGGCCTCCCCAGAACTTCTCCCCTTCTAGGCACTTATTGGAATTTCCTCAAAGCCACACCATCTTATAATAATTACTTAATAACTTAATAATATATCATTTATAATAATTAATAACTTAATAATATATCAACTACCCCATTCTCCATTCATAATAATACTGATATAATTGACATTTATTGAGAATATACTATGTGCCAGACCCTACACATACCTCATTTAATCCCCACAAAGATCTCATCAGATAGGTACTATAATTATTCCCCTTTTACAGATGAGAAAAATGAGGTACAGAGAGGTAATGTAACTTACCTTTGGTCACTTAGCCAGTAGGTGGCAGAGTCAAGATTTGCATCTAGGCCATCTAGTTCTAAAATAGGGGACTTTCTTAGCCTGAATGGGCCTTTGCCCCATAAACTGCTCAATATAGTGTAGTTCTCACAACTGGCAGTGTCTCCTTGCCCAGGGAGGTAGGCAGGACAGATGAAATCCCCATTTAACAGATGACAAGACTGAGGCTTGGAGAGATTGAGTTACCTTGGGCACATGGTTAGTGATGGAGCCTTTCATTTATCCCACATGCACTTATTACATGCCTGCTGCATGCCAGGAACTGGTGCTGGTGCTGGGCCACAAGGGACAGCACCTGCTGCCTGGCAGTTGGTTTAGCAAGCAAGCAGACAAGGAACAGGGTTAGAACCCAGGTGGTCTGACTCCGACCCAGTGTCTTTCCCCTCCACCACAGACAGGAGTTCTGCCCCAGGCCACCTTTTCACCATATCCCTGCAGAACCCCCTCCTGGCACCCACATGCCCTACTGACCACCCAGGGTGGGGGTCAGGGGCAGATTCACAGAACCTAGACTCAGAGCTTATCCCTGCCCATCTGGACACAGGCTGCCTGGTTCATGGGGAGGAGCATCCTGACGGCAGTAGCTGGGAGCCTCCCGACAGCCCCTGCTCCTCCTGCACGTGTCACGAGGGTGTCATCACCTGTGCCCGTGTCCAGTGTGTCACCTCCTGTGCCCAGCCCCTCCAGGGTCCTAGTGACTGCTGCCCTCGATGTTCTGGTACTGGGAGCCTTGGGCAGGGCGGGGGATACAGGGAGGCAGTGCCCGGTCAGCATCTCTGTTCCATTGCCCTGGACTGGGTGGCAGAGGCGGACTGTGCCAGCAGAAGTGGCCCCCATTCTTATACACACCCCAATCTCTGAGGCTGGAGGCCCTGGTGGGCAGAGAACCCCACCCCAGGCTGCCAGCCTGAAGTCTCCCTGGTTCTTACCCCGCCCCCCAAGACTGTGAGCACGAGGGTCGGAAGTATGAGCCTGGGGAGAGCTTCCAGCCTGGGGCAGACCCCTGTGAAGTGTGCATCTGTGAGGTAGGTGAGGGAGATGCTGAGAGTGGGGCACAGTGGAGGGGGCAGCCTGGACACTGCAGGGAGCAGGCACTGGGGGGTCAGAGACAGGAGCATGTCCCTGTGGCCAGGAGGTAAGGCAGGGGCTTGGGGTGAGGAGCCAGCAGGGCCAGGAAGTCTGGGGGTGGACATGGGCCACAGGTGCTGGGGGTAGGGGAGGCAGTTGGCAGCCCCCCTGGCTGGAGTGTAGGGTGGTGTGGATGGAAGTTTGGGGGAGACGCCTGCGAAGTGGTTAGGGGCCATATTAGGGAAATTCTATTTGAGAGGTCATGGTAAGCCAGTGGAAGGGCTTTGAGCAGGCAAATGACATCTCAGGTCAGGAGATAAGGCAGTGGGATGGGAGAAGAGGATGGCATGAGAGTGCCGAAGGGTTAAAGGTCACATGAAGATTCAGGCCAGGTGATTACAGGGAGCAGGCACTGTTATCTCTGAGGATCGAGGCATGGGGTGAGGAGCAAGTCTGGGGAGACACTGAGTCTCGGCAGACCGGCGTCTGACCTGCTCAAGGCATAGAGGAGCCTGGAGTCCAGGGGAAAGAGGGGGCTCTCGGCTTCCATGGCCTAGGACCCACCCCCTATTCACTCATTCAGCTGCAACCTGAAGGGCCTCCCAGCCTTCGCTGTCACCGCCAGCAGTGTCCCAGCCTGGTGGGCTGCCCTGTCAGCCAGCTCCTGCCCCCTGGGCCCCAGCGCTGCTGCCCCACCTGTGCCCGTGAGTCCCTTGATTGGGGGGTAGATAAAGAGGGCAGGGCTGCCACCCCCAAAAGACACTGAAAGAGCCAGCCAGCCCTCCTCCACAGTCACAGCCCCAGCCCCAGTTCTTTTCTAAGACCAGTGGATTGTTCTGGAAGCCCATACCCTGGTGGATGAGACCTGCCCTAAGGGGCACTGAAGAAGCTTGCCAGACCTCTTGATTCTGAAACCTGGCGCATCTTGTCCAGCAGGTGGCGCTGCAAGGCTGCTGTTGTGCTGGGGGCTGGCTTCTTGAGGGCAGCGATGTTAGGACCAGAGGGGCAGTGAGTGGCCCAGCTACATTTGTTAGAATGCACTGCAGGGAGAGAAAAGGAATAATATTTATTAAGCACCTACTGTATGCCATGCACTGTATTTGATGCTTTTGATAAATAGTATCTCATTAAATTTTACCCAGTGAAGTAGGCATTTTTAATTCCCCTTTTACAGATGAAGAAATTGAGGTTCAGAGAGATTGATTAATTTGCCTTAAATGACACAGGCACTAAGTGTGGAAGCCAGGATTGGAACCTGGGGCACCTGGCTCACTGTGCTTCCCTTTAGACAATGTGAAAGGAAGTGGGATGGGGAGCAGACCAGGAAGCCTGGTGGTCCTTAGTGACCATTTCCAGGTCCCCCATCCTAGCAGCCTAGCAAAGTTCCTTTTCAAAAGTCCAAAGTTTTCTCTGTTGAAACAAAATGAAAGAGGTTATCTTTCCTGGAGTCCAGGTGCTAGGATTATGCCTTGGGCCCAAGAAATCAAGGGACACAGTGGGTAAGAGGGTCAACTGGGCTTTTGTCCCTTGCTTCCCCTCCCCACATCTCCCACACTGTTCTTGTCTTCACAGAGGCGCTGAGTCACTGCACGGAGGGCCTGCTGGGGTCTGAGATGGCCTCACCAGACCCCTGCTACACCTGCCGGTGCCAGGTGAGCCCTCCTGCCTGGGGGACTCCCAAACCCTCTTCTTCCTCCTCTATGGGCTGTTGCTGTGACTTCTCTCCTGCAGAAGACATTCCCACTTGCCCCCAGTGACATTCGCCCACTTGTCCCGAATGTCACATTCCACCTAGGTCCTGCTCCCTCCCTGCTGTTCCCTACCTGTGGAGTTTCTATGCCCTTCCACAGGACCTGACTTGGCTCTGCACTCACCGGGCCTGTCCTGAACTCAGCTGTCCCTTGCTGGAGCGCCATGCCCTCCCTGGGAGCTGCTGCCCCGTGTGCAGGGGTATGTCCCCAGTTTTGTTCTGTGCCCTCAGAGCATGAGCTCAGGAGGGAGGCAGGAGGGGTGGCATCCATGGGCCAAGTGGGCAATCTGGGGAATACACTCTGAATGCAGGCTTTGTTCTTTTGTAGAAATGAAGGGCTCTCTATTGGGGTGGAGGAGGGACCCATGATGCATAAGGAGGCAGGGAATGAAGCCTAGATTCTCCAGGCCTGGCCTGAGGCTTGTCAAGGGGGTCAGGGACCCCAGGCCCACTAGCAAGGCATTGCACTGCTGAGCTGACAGCCGGCCCAGAGAAGGGTTCCAGCCTCTGTCTTGCCTGGCTTCCAGGACACTCTGGCCATCCTCCAAGCACTGATGCAGAGGCTGCCATCTAGTAGGTCCCAAGGCAATGGCTGAAGAAATCAACACCATCAGGGTGCTAATTGGATGGGTGGGCACCCCCCTGCTATGGGCCTTCTAGGTGAGCTCATGCAGCTGGAATGACAATGTTCCCCCATCCCTATTTGTTTGTCCTCAGAATGTGTGGTGGAGGCTGAGGGCAGGACAGTGGCAGATGGAGAGAGCTGGCGGGACCCCAGCAACGCCTGTATCACTTGCACCTGCCGTGTGAGCAGGATGGATGGGAGGGTGGGGGGTGGAGAATCTTATAGACAGATAAAGGGAGGAGCCTCAGGACATTGGACCAGAGAATACGGGGCTTGCAAAGAATTAGAAAAAGGCGCCCCCTCTAGGTGAGGAAGGAGCAGAGGCATCCCTGTGTGAGGGCAAGGAGCTGAGGGCAGATTTTATCCTCCACTTAAACATGAAGAGGGTGTTCTCGTGGGGCAGGGGCAGAGAAAGAAGGGGCTGCTGCCCCAGTCCCTGATCCAGAAGGCCCCCAGAAGTGTGAAGCCAGGCCCTCCAGACCCTGCTGAAGTCCTAGAACAATGACGTCTGTCCTCAGCGGGGCCACGTGGAATGCCGCCTCGAGGAGTGCCAGGCTCTCTCCTGTCCCCACGGCTGGACGAAGGTGCGGGAGGCTGGCAGGTGCTGTGAGAGATGCCAAGGTGCGGGCCAGGGATATAGGGGGAGACGGGAACGAGACCCAATGTGAGGGACCCGCAGCAGACCTCGCCCCCTCCTGTCCCCTCAGCCCCCGCCGAGTCGTGCGCGCACCAGGGCCGGCAGGTGGCCTCCGGGGAGCGCTGGGCAGTGGACGCCTGCACCAGTTGCTCCTGCGTGGCCGGCACCGT